AAAGTTTCAAATTTAGCAGAAATGGCTAAGATTTCTGCCTACATGAAGGATTACTCACAAGAAAGATATATTTTGGTTTGGAGAAGATGGATAGATTATATTGAGAATAAATATGGAACTAAAAAGTTTTATTTGGTTTTTGAGTAAATTTTAGATTGTCAATGTAGTTTATTTCTATTTTTAAATAGTAATAAGATGTTATAATTATAGTGTTTAATATGTTTGTTTAGAAGAGAGCTAAAGGATGTTATAGAATTGTTAATTCAATAGTGATATAATGTAAGATAGAGTATACTTATTGTATTGTTAACCCTGTGATTGGCTCTGGGAAGTCGGGGGGGAGGGAGGGGGTGGGGAAGGGTGGATTTCGGGGAGGAGGGGAGATATATTGTAAAACTTTTAAAAATTTTCAATAAAAAAAAAAGTTCCGATTAAAGAAGCCAAGCCACAAAGCAAATTCTAACTATTTCCATTTTTGTCACCATATCATTTCCATGAGATACCACCATGTTTTATTAATTGCTGTAAAAATAATTATTAGCAGTTGTCTCCATTTTTAATGAGTTGATCTTCACTATGCAGGGCCAGCCTTTTTAGTAATTTCAAGGGTCATCAATAGACAATAATAGAATAATCTGACTAATTTTCTTTAAGGTCATGATTCAAAATTCAAATAATATAGATCAAGGGTGGGCCAGTTGCATCATGCTGAGGCCGCATCCACCCCAGCTCTGGCAATGCAAAAAAAGTCACGATACGTCGCGACAAATCACATGATGCGGCAAGCTTGACACCCATGATATAGATCAGTGGTGGTGAACCTATGGCACGGGTGCCAGAGGCGGCATTCAGAGCCCTCTCTGTGGGCACACGCGCCGTCACCCTAGTCCTAGGTCTTCAGTTGGGTTTTATAAAACCTTTTTGCTTTCGGCCTCCACCGCCGTGTACAAAAAAAAAAAGGTTCAATCAATCAGTCAATTTCAACTTTTCGTGGAAAAAAAAAGATCTTGCAAAGTTGGAATTGATTGATTGAATTTTTTAGTCCCATCCAGTCTGCTGTTACCACCGCAGCCATGCCCACCCAGTGGGCCATGCTCATCCAATGGGCCACACCCACTCGGCACCGACAATGCATAAGTGGGTTTGGGGTTGCAGTTTGGGCACTCGGTCTCTAAAAGGTTTGCCATCACTGATATAGTTGATCATTTTCTGTGCAGTATAACTTTCTAGAGCAGATAATAGGACCTCACACACTGAAGAGAAAAAGATAGATTGTAAATAAATAATTATGTTGTGTCACTGCAAATTAACCAAGATTAAAAATAAGCTTTTAGGACTTGTTTTTCATATATATTCAATTAG